GAAAATTAAAATTTCAGTAGAAATTATTGACTAATATCATATCTCCAAAGATAAAATAATATCCTTCTACATATATTGAGGAAGAGATATATATTAAAAACATGAGACAGATGCTTATTTATATCTTTGGAGATTACCATAAAAGTTACAAAATACATATTGAATAATAAGCTTTTCTGAAAGAAAGGAATGTAAAAGGATGACTTTAGAATACTTTTAGTCATGAAATATAACCTTAAAAAGAAAAATAAAAGCATAAACAAAACAAAACAAATCTCAACTAAGATCCCTGAGTACTCAAATAGCTAAAGCAGTATCAGAGATACAGGTCTGAGGGCAAATTTGAGGTACAGCCTTTGACTACCTTTTAAAAAGCTTTCCTATGTGCTCAAGCAAGAGTTTTGAGGGGCTAGAGATATATTAATTCCATTTTAGCTGCAAAAGCATTTTATATTTATTTGTTTTGATTACAAAATTGTTGCATATCATCTTGGCCCTGGCTCTCTGATACGATGCCCTTTTTTTTAATGTACTGGGATGAGTTTTAATAATCTGTTTAGTTCTCACTTTCACACAGATACCAGAAGAAAAACATTTAAATGATTTTCCAATTTTACCTTCAATTTTATAACACATATAGTACAATATATTGCACCATCTAAATTAAGATATATTTTTTCAAGCATCAAATTCTAATAATCAATAATCAGCCCTTCTTCCTTATTCCTTAAATACCTCAAGAGTACATTAACATATATATGTGCATATAGTTATATATTATCAATGTATTTATACATATAAGTATATGTATATATAAATGTATACCTGCATATGCATATAAAGACTATTGAAATGACAATAAGGATTTAAAATACTATATAAACTTAGTTGATAAGGCAGTGGCAGAGTTTGAGAGAACTGACTCCAATTTTGAAAAAAGTTCTGTGGGTAAAATGCTATCAAACTACAGATGTAGTGAAAAGAAAGGCCATATGCACCCCAATGTTCATAGCAGCAATGTCCACAATAGCCAAACTGTGGAAGGAGCCGAGATGCCCTTCAACAGATGAATGGATAAAGAAGTTGTGGTCCATATATACAATGGAATATTACTCAGCCATCAGAAAGGATGAATACCCACCATTTGCATCGACATGGATGGAACTGGAGGTGATTATGCTAAGTGAAATAAGTAAAGCAGAGAAAGACAATTATCATATGGTTTCACTCATACATGGAACATAAGGAACAGCACAGAAGACCATAGGGGAAGGGAAGGAAAACTGAAGAGGAGGAAGTCAAAGAGGAAGACAAATCATGAGAGACTATGGACTCTGGGAAACAAACTGAGGGTCTAAATGGAGGAGGGGATGAGGTAGCCCAGTGATGGGCACATGTTGTGATGAGCACTGGGTGTTATACACAACTAATGAATCATTGAACACTACATCAAAAACTAATGATGTAGTATATGGTGGCTAACTGAACATAATAAATAAATAAATAAATAAATAAAATAAAATGGCATCATTTCGTCAAAAAAAACAATGCTATCAAACAGCGTCACATACTACAGAGAAATTGTTCATGAAAGAAAAATCCATCAATGAAGTAAGCTTCACTGTTGTCTTATATATAAAAATATATGTTAATATGCATAGAAAATTTACACTACTATTAAAACATTTGTTTATATATATAGTATAAATGTATTACCAGAAAAATACATATTTTATATATAACACAAAGAGGTATAGTCAATATTAGATGTAAAATGGGATCATAAAAAATAATCTAGAATGAGGCAGGAAGAGAAAATAAGAAAGAATAAACAATAGATGGGACAAATAGAAAACAAAGACCAAGATGATAGATTTAAACCCTATTATATCAATAATGATGAATATAAATGGTTTGAACACTCCAATTAAAAGGCAGAGATTGTGAGACTTGATTAAAAAAGCACACCCAAACATATATTGTCTACTAACTAGAATTACCTTTAAAAAATTCAGCATAGGTTAAAATGAAAGGACAGAAAAAGATATGCCACAGAAATGTTAATCATAAGGAAGCTGGATGACTATATAAACAAAATAGATTCCTGATTAGATCCTGGACTAGAAAAAAAGACATTAGTATAACAACTGAAAAAATTTGAATGAGGTCTTTAGATTAGTTAAAAGTTTTGTAACAATATTAATTTCTTGATTTGATAACTCTACTGTGGTTATGTATGATATTAACATTTGAGGAAACTGAGTGAAAGGTATATAGGAATTATCTGTGTAAAAGTTTTTCATAACTCCATAATTAATACAAATGGAGAAGCTAAAAATGTTTTTTAAAAAAATCTCTGCTCTTCAGGGGCATCTGGGTGGCTCAATGGTTAAGTGTCTGCCTTCGGCTCAGGTCATGATCCCAGGGTCCTGGGATCGAGCCCCACATGCCCCACACTGGGCTCCTGGCTCAGCGGGGAGCCTGCTTCTCCCTCTCCCTCTACCTCTCTCCCTGCTCATGCTCTCTCTCTCTCTGTATCTGTGTCTCAAATGAATAAATAAAATATTTTAAGAAAAAATCTCTGCTCTTCAAAAGACACAAAATAAAGAGGCTGAGAGAATATTCACAATACTTATATTTGACCAAAAAAATGCTATATAATTGACTTACATAAAAGGACTTTCATCCACAATATATAATAATATATAATATGCATAGAAAGGCATACTACTAAGCAACAAAATGAACAAACCACTGATATATGGAATAACACATATGAATCTTGAAAACAAACTGTAGTATATCCACGCAATAAAAAAACTTCTCAACATTAAAAAGGAATGACGTAGTGATACATGGTACATCACTGATGAATCTCAAAATAATTACACTGAATGAAAGAAGCCAGACACACACACACAAATATATACTGAATGAATCTATTTATATAAAATGCTAAAAATAAACCAAAAAAACAAATCTAACTTAGAGTGAAAAAGTGATTGGTGTTTGCCTTGGACTAAGGTGGGAATTGATTGGGCAATAGTACGTGCAAACATGTGGAGTTGATAAAAATGTTCTATATCTTGATTGTGGAGGTGGTTACACAGTGAGAATGTAAATTATACTACAATAAAAGCGATTTAAGACTTGTTAAAATGAAGGCTAGAAGAGAGAAGCCTTTGATTAAATAATACACACCTTTAAGCATTCTTAATTATAGGTTTCTCTTTTCCTTTTTGATGGGTATCTTTTATATCACCATGACTATTTTCATAGCATTTTAGTACAGTGGGTAGATTACAAGATTTAGCTTATATACTTTGATAATCTGAACTTTGAAAAACATGAAAGTTTGTGATTCAAAGAAACATAGCTGAAAGGGAATGAAAAAGCTGAATTAATTATCAATTATTTCTCCTCTAGTCTACTGCCCTACATGCCAGAGAAGAATGGCTTTCTCTTTAGTGTCTGAAAAGGAGAGTCAAAATTTTAAACACTGAAAGTCTCCTCTTAGTGTATGCTCCAACATTCTCCTTCCAGGATCAAGTGTATAATGAATAGGAAAAAAGGAGTGAGTCCAGGATTAGCCTTAAGGTTGAAAATCATCCCCAATGAAAGGAAAATTAATAAGTTTAAAACTATGCCAGGTCGCCTGGGTGGCTCAGTTGGTTAAACATCTAGCTCTTGATTTTGGCTCAAGTCATGATCTCAGAGTCCTGAGACTGAGTCCCAAGTCAGGCTCCGCCCTAGGTGTGGAGCCTGCTTGAGATTCTCTCTCTCCTTCTCCATCTGCCCCTCTCCCCCACTTGTGTGCTCTCTCTCTCTCTAAAAAATAAAAATAAGTTTAAAACTATGCCAAAATATTACCATACTAGCATTTCTGTAAAAGTATAAGAGCAGTAAGGTAATCTTAAGACTCTAATCAGTATCATGTGTACATCAATGTGTACCTTGGTTGTTATGCTAAGCTTCTACATGTTCATTAAATCATTTAAATCTATAAACATTCAGAAGAGTTTATATTTTATAAAGAAATTGAGACTTAGATAAAATAGTTATTAAAAGTCAAATACAGCTGACCATTTAACAGTGTCAGGTTTAGGGGCACTTACCATCCCCCATGCACTCAAAAATCTGTGTAGAACTTTTGACTCTCCCAAAACGTAACTACTAATGGCCTACTGTCAACTGAAAGCCTTATTGGTAACAGTCAATTAACACATATTTTGTATGTTATATGTATCATGTACTGTATTCTTACAATAAAGTAAGCCAGAGGAAAAAAAATGTTATTAAGAAAACCATAAGGAAGAGGGGCGCCTGGGTGGCTCAGTCGATTAAGCATCCGACTCTTGATTTTGGCTCAGGTCATGATCTCTAGGGTCCTAGGATCCTAGGATCGAGCCCTGCTTCAGGCTCTGCACTTAGTGCAGAGTCTGCTTGGGATTCTCTCTCTCCCTCTCCCTCTGCCCCTACCCCTGCTTGTGCGCTCTCTCTCTCTCTCTCTAAAATAAATAAATAAAATCTTAAAAAAAAAAAAAGAAAGAAACCATAAGGAAGAGAAAATACATTTACAATACTGTTCTGTATTTATAGAGAAAAACCCATGTATAAGTGGACCAGCACAGTCAAACTCAGGTTACTTGAGGATCAACTGTAGATAAAAGTGGCAAATTGGGATTGAATCTAAGTGTATCTAATTCCAGTCTTTGGGCTCTTTACTGTTCTGCCATTTTATCTCCAATTATGCTATGTATACTACCTTCCGTATTATAAAGAGGCTCAAGTGTGTAAGTCTGTACAGATCAAAGAACACTATACTGGTTCTCCTTATATCTGAGCTAAGAAGTCTTAGGAATGGTAACTGAGAATATAGTTTCAAGCACATGTAAAGCATTATATTCTACCAAATATCATTCCTATAAAGTACAGCTATCCAATATTAAAAAGAATTCGGGGGACTGAGGGCTATAGGTCCCAAATAATTTTCTCTAATTTTATTCCCTAACCAGCCCAAAAGCTCCACAGAGTTAACACCAATCACAGTAAAGATAAGAAATGGACCGCAGAGAACCTACTTTTACTGGTAAGAGGACAATTATAGCAGTGCCTCTTTCTCCATTCTCTCTCTCTCTCTTTTTTTTTTAAGTTTTTTGTTTTTCTCTGTATAATTCTTTTGAATATTAAAGTTTCATATATTTATTTGACTTCCTTCTCCAGGAATTTTGCTAACATGGATTTAATTTGCTCAAAATCATTTTACTTTGTTAACTTTTTGAAATGCATAGTAATAAAGTAATGGTAGAGTTATTACACTAGATTGACTAAAATTTATCTACTTTAATAATTGACAAGAAGAAATCTCAGAGACAAAGAGAAAATCCTGAAAGCAGCTCGGAACAAGAGGTCTGTAACCTACAAGGGTAGAAATACTAGATTAGCAGCAGAACTATCCATCGAGACCTGGCAGGCCAGAAAAGACTGGCATGATATATTCAGGATGCTAAACAAGAAAAATATGCAGCCAAGAATACTTTATCCAGCTAGGATGTAATTTAAAATAGAAGGAGATAAAAAGCTTCCAGGACAAACAGAAACTAAAAGAATTTGTGATCACCAAACCAGAAATACTGAAATGGATTCTCTAATCAAAGAGAGAGCCTAAAAGTAACACAGACCAGAAAGGAACATAGACAATATACAGTAACAGTCACCTTATAGGCAATACAATGGCACTAAATTCCTATCTTTCAATAGTTACCCTGAATGTAAATGGGCTAAATGCCCCAATCAAAAGACACAGGGTATTAGACAGAATAAAAAAGCAAGACCCATCAATATGCCATCTGCAAGAGACTCATTTTAGACCCAAAGACACCTCCATATTAAGTGAGGGGATGGAAAACCATTTATCATGCTAATGGACATCAAAAGAAAGCTGGGGTGGCAATCCTTACATCAGATAAATTAGATTTTAAACCAAGGACTGGAATAAGAGATGAGGAAGGACACTATCATAATTAAAGGGTCTATTTAACAAGAAGATCTAACAATTGTAAATGTTTATGCCCCTAACATGGGGCAGCCAATTATATAAGCCAATTAAGGAAACACATCGATAATACAATAATAGTAGGGGACTTTAACAACCCCCTCACTGCAATGGACAGATCATCTAAGCAGATCAACAAGGAATGTGGGCTTTAAATAACACACTGGACCAGATGGACTTCACAGATATATTCAGAACATTCCATCCCAAAACAACAGAATACACATTCTTCTCGAGTGCGCATGCAACATTCTCCAGAATAGATCACATCCTGGGTTACAAATCAGGTCTCAACTGGTACCAAAAGATTGGGATCATTCCCTGCATATTTTTGGACCACAATGCTTTGAAACTGGAACTCAATGGCTTTTATGATATTAAGGTATGTTTCCTCTAACCCTACACTGTGAAGAGTTTTAATAAAAAAAAAAGACGGGATCATACGGGAAGGGAGGGAAAAATAAAACAAGACAAATCAGAGAGGGAGACAAACCATAAGAGACTCTTAATCTTAGAAAACAAACTGAGGGTTGCTGGAGGGGAGGGGTTGGGGGATGGGGTACCTGGGTGATGGACACTGGGGAGGGTACGTGTTGTAATGAGTAGTGGATATTATATAAGACTGATGAATCACAGACCTGTACCCCTCAAACAAATAATATATTATATGTTAGTTAATTGAATTTAAATTTAAAAAAATAAAATAATTGACAAGAAGAAAATATTCACTAGTTGATCATCCTGTTTAAGAATATAAATAACATTTACATTCGAGCAAAAAATAAGTTTGAGCATATTGATTATATTTGTGGAGGGAGTAAAGCAATTTTCATCTTACCTGAAATCACATGCTGTAGTAAATTCTGCTCCTCCACCCAATGCCCAACCTTGAATCAGCGCAACACTTATTAAAGGGAGTCTGTTTATTAAAGGAAAAAAGGAAAATATGGATGTTAATGTTTTTCATTTCAATAATAATTTACAAATATTACTTTAAAAAAACCTGAGATGGAGCAGAAACAAAATTATTGAACTATGTTCATAATAACAAACATACCCCAAAGGATAGTGGAACCCTCATTGCGTGTATCATGAGGAATAAAACAGTATAATTCTTAAGATATAGTAATTCATACTAAATGCTGTGTAAGCTTATCAAACAACCTCCCTGAAATCATCTATTTTTAAACTATTAACTATATTTTTATATATGAATAATATACATAAAATATATAAAGTATATATTATAAATACTATATGATATATATACCTTATGTATATTTTTATATATTACTAACTGTATTTTTTAACTATATATTGTAACTTTCTTCTAAATAAATGAATGTTTTTTATATAATATACAGCTCCTACAACTCCTCAGCCACTGGCAATCAAGAATAATTAAATGTGGTCATATTTCACTCCATTTTTATTGATGTCACGTTAGGAGGCAAAATTAAGGCTATATCCAAAGGAAGACTGAGCTCCAAAACTGTGTTATTATAAAGATTCCTATCAAAAGTCTTATTGCCTATTGAAATGACTGATAAAGTGATACTATATAAAGGAATGGGTCTGTGGTAAAAATAAATCTCTTCACCTTTCCTGACTGCAAAGACCCACTTTGAAAGAAGTATGTAAGTATTAACAAGGTAAATACATATGCTTTGAAAGTATGGAATATTTTGTAGGTTCTAACCAAATGCAAAGCTGCACACCTAAAGTAATGGAAAAATGTATTAACACCTTCTGCTTCCAAATAAAAAGGATTAAAAAAGCTTTTAAGATTTATCTAAGAAAAAGTCAAGTAAATAGGGAAAGGAAGGTGAAGAGGAACTAAAACAATGAAAAAAAGTATTTTAGAATAATGTTTTGATTCCATTATTCTTTCTAGGCTCTTACATATGAAGAGCACCAAAAATAGAGTGATGTCCAACTAGTAAGTATGCTAAATAATATGAATCCTTAGTTTTTATAATTTTATAGGCTCTTTAGGAAAAGTGCCATGTCTTAAAATTTTTTTATCTCTATCTTTGAAATACCTATGCGTACTTCACCAACATTTAATTAAATGACTGTCTTTGATAGCACAAATAAATAGGTCATCATTAAAATAAATATAATTCGAAAATCAGGAATTTTTTAACTGGTGCAAAACAGAACAATGAAGAGCTCTTTTTTTTTTAGATTTCATATTTTAAAATGAAAGATACATTACCTCATAAATCTTGTTAAGGTGTTTTGCATGAACATACATAAGGCCATTCCATCCTTAAAGAAGAATAAGCATAAACACAAAGGTATAATGTAAATGTATTATGTAAGAAATTTTTCAATTTTTTTCAGGATTTATAAAGTAATGAATCCAAAAATATACCCAACTTTTTTCTTTTAAATGAGGTTTTCACTTAAAACTCTTTGATGCTGTCAGAAATGCAAATGATGCAATATTAAATTCTATTGACCTTATAGGGTTCCTTAAGCTCAGATCTACATGAGGTATTAGCAAAGACTTTAGGCATGAGAGTCAGATCACATATCCCAGAAGAGTGTGAAGTTCTACTCAGGGTAATCTGGGAGAAAGAGACGTAAGATGTACCCACCTATTATCTCAAATTCTGATCCCCTAAGAATATAAACATATAAAAACAAAATTCTTAAAAGTACAGTTGACCCTTGAACAACACAGGTTTGAATGGTGTGGATCCACTTACATGTGGATTTTTTATAGTACAGGACTGTGAATGTGTAAATGTGTATTCTCTTCCTTATGATTTTCTTAACATTTTTCTTCTGTAGCTTACTTTATTCTAAGAATACAGTATATAATACATAAAACATACAAAATATGTGTTAATCAACTTTTTATGTTATCAGTTAGGCTTCTACTCAGTGGTAAACTATTAGAAGTTAAGTTATTGGGGAGTCAAAAGTTATATGCAGATTTTCAGCTGTACAGGGGTCAGGAGCCCTAACCCCTGCATTGTCCTAGGGTCAACTGTAGTCTAAACTCACTGCTTCTTTTTTAACTCACATACTTCCTTCAACCTAGGGTAATCTAGTCTTCAGCCTTCTCTCAAAAGACTCCCCTCAAAGGTTCCTAATAATTTTCTATTTGTTAAATGACTTTTCCTTATCCTTATCTCCCTGTCTCTATAACATAGGTATCTTGCTTTGACCAGTTTCTATATTTTAAAAGCCTCTAATAGTTTCTACCAATACTTTCCACTCTTGATTCCCTTCCTATTTCTTTGATTGTTCCCTTCCAGTTTTCTTCTTTGACTCTTCTTATTCAGCTAAATAAGTAATTTAATACCTGTAAATGCATGTATTCCCCAAAAATTCCACCCATGATTCTCTTTCTCTTATCTACAATTTCTTCCTTGGAAATATCATCCACCCCCATTGCTTCAACTCTTGTTCTCATGTAGATTCCCAAAACCTCCCAGAAGTTTCACATTCTCCCAAGACTTCAAATTCAGCATGGCAAAACCAACTGGGAGTGGGAAGAGCTGAGTTTGGATCCTAGTGCTACTGCTTAATAATAACATGAACTGGAGCAAGTCTTAAATGAGTTTCCTCATCTGAAAGGAAGGAATGATGAATAAAAAAAAATACTTGTTCTATTTGACTTAAAGGATGGTTGGAAAGATGAAAATGTACCTAGATACCCTGTAAAAGATCACATAAATATAAGTGAGTTCTGAGTTAATTAAAAAAAAAAAAAAAGGTCTTCTGGTCAATAAGGCTCAGAATTTTGTCATTTTCTTTGATTCTTCCATTTCACAGTTCAGTTCACCCACAATTAGTTACCAAGTATGTCCTTTGAAATATTTCCAGTATAAATCCCTTCTTTTTCTAGTTGCAGTGCTGCTACACTGGCTCAGACTTATGTTACTCATACTTAGATCATGACAACAGCCTTGTTTCCTAACTAGGAATGCATTTCCTAACTATATTGCATCAAAGTACATTATATTATACAAAGTATTTTAAGAAATGCTTGAATAAACTGAGATGAGTGCCGAAGAAGCAATTTATTTCAATTGGGTCAGGGTAGTTGGGAAAGCTTTATAGAGAAGGGAAGATGGCATTTGCTAGGCCTACACAATAAGCCTTTTGAGGTTGACAAAATGCCTTCTTTATCCTCAGAAGCTAATACAATGTTTTGCATATAATATTTGCTTTTGAAGGTAACTGAATTAGATGAATTTTAGATGGAAAACTGTTATTCTAGAAAACAAATGCAGTCAATGAAAGGTAAAAACCAACATAAATTAAATATAAATTTCCTAACTGAAAGCCTTTATCACAAAGGTCATTCTATATTATAAATTGATAAGAAAATTAACACTAGCACAAAGAGCTAGAAGGTTTAAAACTAGACTGATTTACATTACGTTAAAATCTATGCAATAGGGGCGCCTGGGTGGCTCAGTCAGTTGAGCAGCCAACTCGTGATTTGGCTCAGGTCATGATCTCCTGGGTCTTGAGATGAAGTCCTGCATCAGGCTCTGTGCTAAGCAGGGAATCTGCTTAAGATTCTCTCTCCTCTCCCTCTACCCCTCCCCCTGCTCATGCTCACTCTCTCTAAAATAAATAAATAAAATCTTAAAAAAAAATCTGTGCAATAAAGCCTGTAAATTATCTCAATAAATTAATCTTAATAGGCCTATTTTCTATTATACTAGATTTAGAGTACTTAAAATTCTGGCAGAAGCATCTAGAATTGATAGAAATGAAAGTGAAGCATGTATTAGACTGTATGCTGTTATAATTCTCATTCAAAAGATAAGTCACATTAAAAATGTTTAAAAGCAGTATAGAACAATGGTTAACAACATAGATGCTAGAGCTAAAATGCCTAGGTTGAATCTAGGCTCTACTATTTACCAGCTAGTCTGGCTTTGGGCATGATACCTAACCTCTGTGCTTCAGTCTCCTCACCTATAATAATAGTATCTATCTCATTAGGGTAGTTAGTAATGATTAAATAAATCTGACATGTAAAGAACTTAGACAGTGCCTGATATATAGTAATAGAATAAGGAATGTTATCTAGCACTGCTATTATTAATATCAGTAATAGCACTGGCCATCAGATAATGAATAAGCTTTGGCTTTAAATGTATCATAAAGTAAAGATTACACTGTAATAGAATACACTGACAAGAATAAAGAATACACCGACAAGACCTAGGGAGAAAAAAAGATTAGATTTGTCCCCCAAAGCCATTGGGCCAAAAATGGTTAAATGCTCAAGCCCTTTCTCGGGCTGTAAGAAGAAAATAAGTCAATGAGAGATAAAACCAAGTTTGTGATAGAATAAGTTGAAAAAAAGAAACTAATGAAAAGCTATACCTGCTCTGATGAATGAAGCCTAGAAGCTGGAAAGTAACAAAAAAAAGGTTTTTAAGAGCTGCTGCAGACAGTGCTATTTTCATCCAGCTAAATGATACCCTGAGGCCCAAACCTACTCCTTCAGTTCTTACTTGTATAACAAAGATGAGAAGCACAATGCTCAGCTGAAGTGCCAAAAAGAACTATTAATGTCTTATTTACTCTGAGCCACATTTATCCTGAGTGGAAAAGTGCTCAGCCTATAAAAGTATCTTATCCTAGAACCAACCGTAAAGGAGACTTTCTCTTTTTTTCCCTAAGTGCTTGTTGTATGGATTTATTAATTTCCTCAAAATACAGGGAGGGTTTAGAGAAAATTAGAAAAATTTGTCTATAAATTAATGAGGCTAAAACTGAACAACAGCAAAAGCAAAAACTTAGCAAAAGCAAAGAAGACAGATGAGCACTCTGTTTGAGGTCACTGTAGAAATTTAAGCAACAGAGAAAAATAAGGACGATGGATTGGCAGAAAAGTAACTGAAAGGTCAGGGAACAAAGGAAAATACTACCTTTAAACTAGAGTAAGAGTATAAAGGTTTCTAAAATGCCAGACTTTTCCTTGAGGAATTATACCCATTCACTGCAGAATAAGTAGGTTTGTTTTCCCATATCTTGAAGATTATAATTGGATTTGATGATTTCTGCCTTTTGAAAAAAGACTTCTGATAGTCTACAGAACATCTGTGGCATCAAATCCAACTCTTATAATTGGGTTAATACATTAGATTTTTTTCTTATTTTATTCTTTTCTCTGCCCCATAACCTTTAAGGGCTAATGTGTGTGTTATGCTAATCCATCTCCCTCCCTCAACTTTTTTCAACCAAGGATTAACTGCCTAAAAGTGGATTAGTCTACTTCTACTTACATTAGGTAATTTTCACTAATAAAATAGTTTTTAAACTTTGAAAAAATACACTGGCAAAAGTATCAACATAATCTTTTTTCTTTAAAAAAAAGCCATTTAATAATCAGAAGAGACTATAATCCAATTACTAAAATCATCATCTATTCTAGTTATCTCATCATCCTCAGAAAAGCAAATTCACCACATAAGTAAATGCTAGTGATACATCTGCAACAACAAAGAGTAAGTGTATTAGATAAAGAAAAGCTTCACTGAGAGAAAGGCTGTTCATAACTGAATGTTAAGAGTCTCAGAGTATCTCAGCTGTGAGGGGCAGATGCATTTATACATGCAGCTGCAACTCATACAAAGGTGTGAGGCTCAAAAGTCCTGAGGCCATTTTAAATCTCAGTTTTACACATATTCATAGTTCTTTCTCAGGCATATAGAAATCAGCATGATTCTACTTTTTGCTTTTACATGTATACAAAATAAAAAATCCTGGCCATATGATCTAAAGAGACAGAAACCTTTTAACTAGAAGAAAGCAAAATAACCTTTCACTTTTTTAGGGATGTTTTCCTACCTGACTTACATCAGACCCAAAATAATCTATTATCTCATTCTATCTATCCAGTGTCTTTTATGAGCAAAGTAAGGTGCCTAGGAATTCAATCATTTCAGAGATGAAAAA